TATATATATATATATATATATAATATATATTATATATATAACCCATATATATAACCCTGGACATTATATATATATAATATTATATAAATATATATTATATATATATACACAGAAAAATACAAAAGACTATCGTAGTAATCAAAGATACACAAACCAAACAATAGGCAAAATTTTTCAGGCTAAAGAATTCCTTTAGGTTACTTTGATGTAATGATGGCATAGACCTATATTAATGGATATAATACAATGTCCATGACATAATAAATAAAATAAATAAGATACTAAAGGGTATCCACAATACTTTAAAAAAAATTTTTTAATTTTTCTAAATTAAACATAATATATAAGTCCAGGTTTTATATATATGTTTTAAAACCTGGCCATCAGATTAATGTTAAACAATAGAAAAAAACTCTCCTAGAGCAAGAAGATAGCAACAGAATTGAAAGTGCTCTGTAAACAATAAGGGCATAAAAACATAAGTAGTATCACGTTATATTTTCTAATTTGTTTGTTAAAGTGAACACTATAACCTAGCTGGCATCATTAGATAAATAAAATATTAGTATTCTACTTTTAGATGCAAAAAAATGGGAAGCTCATTATGTTAATACAAGTATTGTTTCTGAGAGTAAAATACTCACAGCTGTTTCTCCTTTTGGGAAATTTGTTTCTGTAGACTGTCGGATTTACTCAGACATTCCTGTAGATATTTCTCGTCTCATCTTCAGCTTCCATTTGCGGTTCTCTGTTTGCTGCAATCTGGTGTATTCAAATCAATTTGGGTAAAACTGAGGCTAGAACTAGGGTGTAAAAGGGTGAAGAAGACAAATAAAAGAAAAATGGGGAAATAGAAACATTTCTAAATGAAAACAAAGTCTGGGAGAAAACTCACAAAACTCAAACGTGAAAGAGCCACACAATGTCTAGAAATTGTTTTGTGGTTTTTTTTCAACATAACATATAATATGCCCAGAATACTACTTCAAATTTGTTTTATTTCTTGTTCATAATTACACATGCAAAGCAATACAGCCTTTACCACTTATGTAGGAGCATAATGAATCAATTTCAAAGTATAATAGGTTATTACTGCTTTTTGGAAAACCATGAAAAGCATAGTACTTATGTCTACACTAGGTGAAGAAGCCTTATGCTAGGATGTGTATGCCAGGAATCAAGTGTGCTACAAGGCAAGAGCAAGACCTGCAATTTCTTCAAATGATAATCGAGTCTTCCTATAAGTCTTTACTGAATTATACCAAAGTCTGTGTGTGGTGTGTGTGTGTTGTGTGTGTGTTGCAAGTACATATTACTTATTTAAGATTCAAAAGAATTAGTGCTAGTTGGCATCATTCTCTAAAGATCATTTTGGTTCCTCACCGTTGAATTAAAAAATAGCTCAAATGTGGTTTTTTTTTCCTATTTTCATTTGTAAGTCATTGCTTTTCCCTGTGCTTAGCTCCACTCCTGCCTTCCTTTGGCCACCTAGGACTTCTTAGATTTAACCTCAATATTTTATAAGAAAATATCTCCCGCCGGGCGCTGTGGCTCACGCCGTTAATCCTAGCTCTTGGGAGGCGAGGCGGGCGATTGCTCACAGGTCAGGAGTTCAACAACCAGCCTGAGCAAGAGCGAGACCCGTCTCTACTATAAATAGAAAGAAATTAATTGGCCAACTGATATATATATAAAAATTAGCGGGCATGGTGGCGCATGCCTGTAGTCCAGCTACTCGGGAGGCTGAGGCAGAAGGATCGCTTTGAGCCCAGGAGTTTGAGGTTGCTGTGAGCTAGGCTGACGCCACGGCACTCACTCCTAGCCTGGACAACAAAGTGAGACTCTGTCTCAAAAAAAAAAAAAAAAAGAAAATCTCCCAAGATTCAAGGGCCATTAACTCTCTGTAGGAACTTACAAGAGAATTTCTGTTCAACAACAAAAAAAACCTGCCTCTTCCTTCTTTCTTAAACCAATCAATTAGGCAACCTTAATATTTCAGGACTATAAGTGCTGCTTTCAAGAAAGGAGAGTAAATTTAAGTTATCTCTAAATCTAAATAAAATATTAAGGTGGCAGGGGTGGACCCAAGCTTTTCTCTAAGGTTACAGAAAGTAAATAAAAAGTCAGAGTGAGGTAGGCCTTGAAGTTGTGCTATCACAGAAGAGTGCTAGGGAAAACTAGAAAATTGGATGCTAAAGCACATGATCATGTCCATCTGGTTTACAAACTATTTTAAAGCATATTAAAAAATCAGTAAGGAGGCCATTAGGCATGAGTGGGCCAATGGGAAAATATCTGTGTCACACATGTGAAACCAAAGGTTACTTATTGTAAAACAATTTTTATATTTTCCATCAAAAAGTAGTGCTGAAAAGATAAACTACATTTGAAAATCCTGACCCAAGGGTCAACACTCAAATCAGCCTTTTTGCAAGATTTGAGGAACGTATTTTTGTAAATCCAAAGTGCAACCCACTCTGTTTTATGGCAGTGTTTATTAACCAAGCAGCTGACAAAAAAATGTACAGGGCTCTTAATACCTTTTAGAATACTTAACAGCATAAATTATTTCTATTTAATATATTATTAAATTGTTGATTCTCTTTTTGTCTGTTTAAATACAATTGTTTTCAGAAGATATATCTTTGACCAGCTTGTACTGGTCCTGAGTGTCACTGCTGGCCATTTCACCAATGACATTGCAATTGTCCTAGTTTGAGTTAACAAATCGTTGTCACTTCAAAATGGAATGGACAGAAATCAAGACAGAAAAAGGTAATAAAAATGTCCAAAATGTAGAAATGGGGATAAAGAAAACAGAAAGAAAAAAAGAAGAAAGAGGATGTCAATAAAAGAACATTCATGTCAATAAAGCATTAATATTATGTTTCTAAGTAGATTCAAAGAAAGCATGATTAGACATATGTTGACACCATGACAGCGCAATGGGAATACATTACATTTTCCAACAATAAAAGTGAAAAAATGCCAATATAAAACAATTCAATTTAAACAAAATTGTATCTTTGGTCGGGTTGAGGGTCCTAGCTCAAAAAAACAAAACTAAAGACATTCAGAATGCTTGATTTAGATAAGAGATGGTGAATGGCAAAGAATATGGCAATTAATATGCATGGAAATCAGTCATGGATATCCACACATGGATTTTGTTTGCTTTTAATTTTTTTGAGTTTTGTTTGTGTATTTGTTTATGTAATAATTGAACCACATGAAATTGCTGATATTAGCCTTTAAAAAATTCAAAATGGCAATTCAAATGAATCAGCCCAATATAAGCAACTTGATTCCATGCAACAACCAAAACAAAAAGGCAAAATCCTGCTGGCTTAAACAAAAAACATGCCCTACCTACATATTCCTAATGGATTTTTTTTTTTTTTGTGGCAGGTGTCAGAGTAGAATTAAAAAAAAGAGGGAAAGAAAGAAAAAGGAAACTAAAACTGGAAATGCTGTACTTTGTTCAGCTGCCTCCATGGCCGCAGTAATTTATTGGTTTTCTCTTCTAGTCGGGCAATTATTTCATTTTTTTCTTTCAAGCCATCTTCAGAACCCTATTATAAAAACAAAGGTATAGTGGTTTTGATTTTTTTTTTTTTTTTTTGACAGTGTCTAGTTCAGGTTGTTTTCAAACTCCTGGGCTCAAGTGATCCTCCTGTTTCAACCTCCCAAGTAGTGTTTTGATTTTTAAACTTGAATAAGTTTCTTACACCTTTGTTATAGATATTACATTGACATAAACAGTTAATTTTTTTTTTTTTTTTTTTTTAGACAGAGTCTCACTTTGTTGCCCAGGCTAGAGTGAGTGCCATGGCATCAGCCTAGCTCACGCAACCTCAAATCCTGGCTCAAGCAATCCTGCTGCCTCAGCCTCCGAGTAGCTGGGACTACAGGCATGCGCACCATGCCCGGCTCATGTTTTTCTCATATATATTAGTTAGCAATTAATTCTTTCTATTTATAGTAGAGATGGCGTTCTTTTTTTTTTTTTTTTTTTTTTTGAGACAGAGTTCGCTTTCTTGCCTAGGCTAGAGTGAGTGCCGGCGGGTCAGCCTAGCTCACAGCAACCTCAAACTCCTGGGCTCAAGCGATCCTCCTGCCTCAGCTCCCGAGTAGCTGGGACTACAGGCACGAGCCACCATGCCCGGCTGATTTTATATATATATTAGTTGGCAATTAATTTTTTCTATTTTTATGGTAGAGACGGGTCTCGCTTAGCTGGTTTTGAACTCCTGACTGAGCAATCCGCCGCTCGGCTCCAGAGTGCTAGGATTACAGGCGTGAGCCACCGCGCCCGCCGAGATGGCGTCTTGCTCTTGCTCAGGCTGGTTTCAAACTCCTGACCTCGAGCAATCCGCCCGCTCGCCTCCAGAGTGCTAGGATTATAGTAAACAGTTAATTTTACTTTAAAATAATTCTATGAGATAAAACAGTGCTATGAGTCTTCATTTAAGTGGAGTAAAATGTATAAAGAAAAAACCCTCAGCTTTCAATGTTTTGGGAAGACAAGAGAATAAATTCTTATAAAATATGCCATTTTTCAAATTAATTAAAGGACTTTTGCAACAGCATACTTAATAGCAATGTTACTTTATTAGAAAATTCACACATTATAATAGTAAGCATTTTAATCAAATTAAATCTTTCTTAGGATATTACTTAAAAGAAGTTATAATGTCTCGCATATTTAGATTGAGAGTTTTCTCCAAAGATCTAATCTTCATACTGTTAACTTTTAGCATTAAGAAACAATTCAGACAGGTGATTTTTTGTTTGCTCTTTGATACCTTTTTCATTACATTTTTTAAGCTTCCATTATGAAAAAAGACACTGGCTTTTATAACCATATGGCACAGTTACACAGGCTTGTCTCTTAAAACCAACCCTTCCTACAAATATTCATTTTCAATTTAAATAAAATGGGATTACAAGAATTTAAGAACATTTCTTACCTGCAACTTTGCATCTCTATGTTAATGTTTTTCAAACTCCTGACCTCGAGCAATCCGCCCGCCTCGGCCTCCCAGAGTGCTAGGATTATAGTAAACAGTTAATTTTTACTTTAAAATAATTCTATGATATAAAACAGTGCTATGAGTCTTCATTTAAAGTGGAGTAAAAATGTAATAAAGAAAAAAACCCTCAGCTTTCAATGTTTTGGGAAGACAAGAGAATAAATTCTTATAAAATATGCCATTTTTCAAATTAATTAAAGGACTTTTAGCAACAAGCATACTTAATAGCAATGTTACTTTATTAGAAAATTCACAACAATTATAATAGTAAAGCATTTTAATCAAAATTAAATCTTTCTTAGGACTATACTGTAAAAAGAAGTTCATAAAAATGTCTCGCATATTTAGATTGAGAGTTTTCTCCAAAGATCTAATCTTCATACTATTAATCTTTTAGCATTAAGAAACAAATTCAGACAGGTGATTTTTCTGTTTGCTCTTTGATAACTTTTTCATTACATTTTTTAAGCTTCCATTTAGAAAAAAGACACTGGCTTTTATAACCAATATGGCACAGTTACAACAGGCTTGTCTCTTAAAAACCAAACCCTTCCTACAAATATTCATTTTCAATTTAAATAAAATGGGATTACAAGAATTTAAGAACATTTCTTACCTGCAACTTTTGATACATCTCTATGTTAATTGCTTTAACTTCTTCTAGTTGTTGTCGAAGGCCTATCAGAGTATCTTGTTTCTCATGGATGTCTTTCTCCAACAACTTCATGGCAAGTTCAATCTCATGTTTCATACTCACTTGTACTGCTAGCTCATTCTCCACATCCTGCAATTTCAACATATCCTCAATTCACATGCCACTTCAGGATGTTAAAATCAGATACACAACAGTTAATAAGATCAAGAAAGATTTTCCATTCAATATATAGACTACAACTTTTAAGTCTACTAAAGGTAATCTACCAGGCCCTATAACAACATAATACTTTAAAATGAGTTTCTCTGAACCTACTCTGGTTTGGGAGGCTGCCTGATAGAAAAATTAAAGTAAAAGAAAATAAAGCAGTTAAGGCCAAAGATAACTCAAACAGTTTTAATTTCTTTCCTTAAAGAATTTTTATAAGAAGGATTAAGAAATTTCTTTCTTTTTAAAAATGTATTTATTAGGCCGGGCGCTGTGGCTCACGCCTGTAATCCTAGCTCTTGGGAGGCCGAGGCGGATGGATTGCTCAAGGTCAGGAGTTCGAAACCAGCCTGAGCAAGAGCGAGACCCCGTCTCTACTATAAATAGAAAGAAATTAATTGGCCAACTGATATATATATAAAAAATTAGCCGGGCAT